CATTATCTTAGATCCAAGTTACAAGTTTTTGTCTAATTCAGGTAGCTTTCTATTTGATGACTTGTTTATCTGCTTTCTTTTTTAGCCTTCTGTTTTTATTTTTACAGACAATCTGTGAATTTGGTGGGTTGTTCCTGGGTCAGTGATGGGATGGATTAACTTCAGCTAGGATTCATGGCAGCTGAGAGAAATTTTTGCCCAACTAAACCCAGAAGCCAAACTTAACATTGAAACGTGAGGACTCGATGAGTGGGAAATACATTGTGCCTTTCCCTGGGTGCAGTGTGTTGCACCAAACTCTTTGTGGTGGGCAGAGGGTGGTTTGAGACTCCAGGTCTGGAGCTTGCAGAAGCGCACATTCTGGGTGGCTGACTTATCTGCTCTGTTCCCACTTAACATTTTGATTACAATGAACTTGTCAATCAAAAAAAAGATGACAGTCAATTTGAAAAAAGTGGAAATAGATGTTTTAAAGTCAAGCCATTGACATTTTACTTTGACTTGGTACCTTGATTTGTCCCAACTGAATGTAGGTAGCACCAGAGTTGGAACCGTTCTCTCTCCTCACTGTTTTTGTGCGTCTGCCTCTACACCAGTGGTTTTCAAACTGTAGCGTGCGTGAGAATCACCTCGAGCATTTATTAAAAACACTAATTGCTGGGCCTCAAACCAGAGCCCAAAACTGGCATTTCTAACAAGTTCCTAAGGTGATGCTTCTGCTGATGGTCAGGGGACCACACTTTGAGAACCTCTGCTTTAAACCTGGTGGGTTATGCATAGGAATTTGAATGACTGATTGGTAGGTGGTATATCTGGGCTTCACTCATGTACTAAATGCTGCTGGTCAATACTTAAACATTCCACAAACATTTGTTCAGCTCCGGCTATGCGTACGTGTGCCCGACTACACATGCACAAAGCGCTGTAGCCAAAGTAACTTTTATCAGCATGTATGGAATCACTGGCCCTTGGTTTTAGAGATCTGTAGTTTCTTGGAAATAGCGTAGAGATTGAGGAAGACTTTTGATCTGTAGTGTAAATTAGCCAGCCATAGGCCAGAAGGACAAAAGTCTAGCCCTGTCTTTGGAGAGGCTGATGGCCAGGTACTCCTTGGCTCCCGATACCCACACCAGCCAGATCCTCATCCTCCAGGGCCCATCTTTGTCACTCTGTGGGGCTTTACTAGATCACAGGAGGCCAAAACCTCTTTTCTCAGTGGAGAATCACGTTGGACTTTTATCTTTTCAGTTGTTAGACCACACTGCAGCTTTGTTCCCAGTCCAAACTACCTCCATAAAGTGACTCTTCTGTGCTGGTCTGTTAAATCTTGCCCTCCTTGGTGCTAGACTCCAACTGTGCCTCAGGACAGAAGGCGAAACACAGCTATCCTGTTGGCCTCTGTGGTGGTTTTGAAGTTTGTACTTTCTTTGTAGGTACAGTTAAATATTGGAGCAAGGAATGTGCACTTCCATGGCTTTGAACCAAGAGAGGATTATGAGCCTACTGGATAGAGGTTAAAACCTAATAATCAACGCTTCGAGTTTTGTGCTTTCTCCTTCCATCCCCTGTGGTGTTGTAACTTAGCATGAGAAGAGTGACAGGTACTGACAAATCCAACATTAAGGTGTAAATAGTCCGTTATTGCCTCAGAAGTCAAGGAGTAATAAAACCTTGAGAAATGAAATAAGAATGTTTAGTAATTATCCTGGTGCTCTCTAGAAATCTTGGCATGAGCTGCTACAAAGTACCCTTGTAGAACAGGACCTTATCATTGAGATGAACAAAAATCAAGGGCAGTTTAGACAAAGTGCTATGAATTTGAAATTCCCAGAGAGAAACATCAGTTTGGGATAGGTATTTATGATAGTCTTCTGAAAAACCTGAATCCCAGCAATTCTTAAGAGTAGGTTGCCAAAGCAAAAAGCTAGTGAAGGAGGGGGAAAAAATCAAAACTTAAAGCCCTTTCTTGAGCTCTTGGATTGTGTTAATGTAATGATCTTGTTGACTTTCATTTCTGTGTCTGTTCACGTGGAATTTAGTGTCTGACTTTGTTCCTTTTGGAACCCAAATTCTTTTCTTCCTTCCCTGTGCAAATCCATTTGAAGCCTGTGTCTGCACTTCTTTGGCCTCTATTTTGCTCTCCATTTCCCTTTTCTGTCTTTCGTAGATAAAAGATAGTGTCTTTTATCCCATATATCTTGTTTATCAAACCTCTCTAGCCCTCCTGATGCAGTGGACCTACTATGCAGTGGATGTAGATACCAGCCAGAAGTTGCATGTTTCAAGGAACAGTTGTCCCACTGGAATTTCTGTAAGGTTGGGTCAAGGGCCACTTGGTATCATCTGCAATTATGGGATCGTAATTGTCTCTCCAGCCTATGCTGGAGAATCATTCAGCCCCACGAGGCTCACAAGGGATCCTCCATGTCCAGCAGGGAGTTAAGAGATTAAGGTTTCTTAAATACTTCTATGGTGGGGTTGTCTGGAATTCCCTTCCAGGCTGTGGGGCACTGGTCCTGAGTTCTGGCTGCAGTTAGGAGCTTGAAGGAGATGGGGCAAGGGGTACACTTACATGCCATTTAATTTTGATCCTGCCCCCACCAGCTGCTTCTTTCAAAAGGTACATTTAAAGATACAAAGTCTGCATTTGACATAATGCCTTAATCACTGGTTCTACAATTAATGTTGACTGCTTTAGATTGTAAGCTCTGGAGAGCAGTATTGCAGTAGTGGGAATGTTTTAACAATGCCATGTACAAAAGAACAAAATAAATATTTTGATTTTGTGATTCTCTGCATGTCTTTTTACCCAGAGTTAAGATCAGAATAAGCAGTCTCTTCATTGTGCACATGGAGTCTTGGCCATTGCCATCAGTTTTTAATGTCAGTCTAAGTGGCATTGTCCCTTTATGTTTTCATTTCATTCTCCTGCTCTACTTAAAATGGTGAGCTAATACCTGACAGATCTACATGAACTTCTGCACAGGAGACAGGGTCTTCATAAAGCTGCAAATATCTCAGTATACCAGGGACTTCTGGATTTACAAGCTGACTTGTTGGCCCTGGTTGGTATGGTTCAGTGGCGTGAGCACTGGCCTATGAACTGAAAGGTCATTGGCTTGGTTCCCAATCAGGGCACATGCTTAGGTTGCAGGCCAGGTCCCCAGTTAGAGGTGTCCTTCTCCCTCTCTTCCCTCTCTCTAAAAAATAAATTAAGTCTTAAGAAAATAAATAAAGCTGACATTGTATCATGATGCCCTGGCTATATTTATGCTGCCAAGCAAGAGGCCCTGAGTTGAGCCTCTGGGAGCTTCACTAACGAGCCTTGAGGTGAGCACTGGCTCTGCCTATCCCTGTGGCAATGCCAGAATGCTGGTATTCTGGAATTCTGGCATTACCAGCTGGTGTTATTTGCCCTTCCCATTCAGCACGACTCTGGTCTCTTCCGTAGTGTAGTATGATGAGCATGGACTCTGGAATCAAGTGTTACCTGGGTTTGGATCCTGGCTCCATCACTTACTGGAAATGTGACATTCAGCAAGTTAGTTTAATAATCCCTAAGCTTTAGTTTTCTCGGTTATAAAAAGGCAATACTAGTACCTATTTGAATTAGGAGCAATATGTATAAAACCCCAACACGTAATAGGCATTCAATCCATAGTAAGTATATATATATTTTTTAATTGTTCAAGTAGTTTTTACTCCCATCCCAGCCCTCCCTCCCATTTCCACCCAGTATATGTTTTTTTTATTATCTGTTTATTTCCTGTCTCCCCCCAATACAACATAATCACCATAAAGGCAGGGGTTTTATTTTTTGTCTATTTTGTTCACTGAAATATATCACTAGCTCCTAGAAAATGCCTGGCACCTTGGAAGAACTCAGTAAGTATTTGTTATTGTTACATAAGCTTTGAATTGAACTAGATAGAAAGATTACACAGCTCAGTAAGTGCGGTACCTGATAAAAAGATGAAACAGCAATAATAGCAACAATGCTAGTTACTTACCCAGCACTTAATCAGGCCAGTCACAGTACTATGCTTATTTCACTATTTCATTCAACTTCCACAACTCCTGTTAGATACACGTTTTATCTCCATCAAATTGCTAAGGCAGGTTCACAAAATTTAAATCATTGGCTTCAGATAATAGCAAAAAAGTGACTGCTGGAATTTCACCTCAAGACTCACTCCACAGTCAATTTTTTAATCCTTTTAATTAGATAATTTTTCCAAACATACACAAAAGTAGAAAGAACCATTTTGTGTACCCTTTCTGCACCTACCACTCAGCTTCAACCAACAACGATAAATTCACAGCCAACCTGGTTCCCAGAGTACATGGTCTTAACGCCCTGCTATAGACTCAAGTAGGTGGAGTAGAATATTCATTCCTGGTGAGCAAAAAAAGCAGAACGCTACACATGGCAGTGACTGGGAAAGCCTTCGTGAGTTCTGATGTGGCTCAACTCCCACAGTCCTCACCATCAGATCACCCAGGCTCCATGCAGTCCCAGGGGATGGAGACTTCAATCCCTGCAGTTGCTGTGCTCAGGATGTATGAGGTCTGATCCAGAGAAAAACGGCCTGAGAAGAACTCACTTTGTTAAGTGTATGTGCTTAATTTGGGAATTAAGAATTTTCCACTGAGGCTCATTACTGCCAAGCGGCTTGGGGTCCAGAGAAACAAGTTCAGAATGGGAGATCAAATTTACACAAAATCACCAAAATCTAATCTCTGCAAGGGCAGGGACCTTTGTGGATTTTGTTCACCAACGTTAGTAAGTACCTAGAACAGTACCTGGCACATCATGGGCACTCAATAAATAACTTGCTGAATAAATCAGTCAAATGAAAGTCAGTGACAAGGATGAACTGGAAGTGTCCCGTGCTTAGGGTCTTTCAATAAAGAAGAGAAGAATGCTGTCACGTATGAGGCAAGTACTGTTTCAAGTCTGGGGGTTAACAGTGCTGTTATACCTCATAAAGGATGTCTCATACTTTTCCAAAAATATATTTATTTTTTAAAACAAAAATTAGACAAGTTTTATAGAGTCAAATTTTCCAGACACAAACCAGAGTTTGGATTTCAACTTTAGAGTGAAGTTAAGCATCAGTAATTTCATGCAGAAATATTTCTGCAGGAGGTAAAACATTCCGAGCATTCGATTCCCTAAATCTTGTTTGTACTTCTGCCATCCTTTCACACCATTCCAGGGCTCTGGCAAGCAAGATAATCCACCTCTAAAATTCAAAACTTCCAAATTGAGATGAACGATTGCTGGGCTTGGCTTGGGGTTTATAACCAATTCGATCATTAATCATCTGCTCCCGGTTCTTGGGGTCACTGCTGAGCCCTATGGCCCCTTCTCCATCGCTGCCTCCTACAACATCCACATCTTCCTTTTGTTTCTTACGGGTCTGAAAGTATACAAGTTTTAGGATTAAGGCAACATTCTTCCCATTAGCAAATAGTCATTTAGCACTACCATGTTCTCGGCATAGGAAAAATCATGAGTCATGAAAATGTAATCAAACTGATTTCGGTAACAAACAAAATGTGAGCTTTCTTCTGGTTTCATTTTAGTTTAGGGCAAAACTCTCCCTCCCACCTAAGTTGCTCTAAAACAGGTCAAACCCACTGGACACTGCCTTTAGGAGAAAAACTAAATAGTGAGCTGACTGCAGAGTCAAAGGTCACTGTGCTATCACTTTGTGAGACTCACAACAGAAGTTTAAACCATACTTAAAATTCATCCTTAAGAGGGCACTCTCAATATGAGCTGTTAAAAAGCAAAAAATTATGACGCTTAGAGAACAGTAAAAAATCTCTGGGATGAACAAGAGGGGAAACAAATCCAAGCTATCCGTCATAATAAGAAGCATACACAAGCTGGGAGCTGAGCCCCAGATCAGAGCAGGCAGTCAGAGGCAGTATCTGAGAACCAAGAGACTGATGACATGCCTGACTACCACACCAGCACCTTCCTCAGCACACCGACAGGAATCCCTTAGTGTGATCTAATGTTGGGAACCGCCCTGCCTGGTTTCAGGAACTGTAACCTCCCATGGCTAAGGCTGAGTGAGCGACCTTCGGACCATAAGCCACTAAGGAGACAAATCTTATCTCCCTGGCAGGAGCACTGCTTCTGCTCCTTTTTCCATAACTGGCCACTAGTACTTGGTCGGTTAGCCAATGATGGGTTAGATTCATCAAGGGAGGATTGACATAAGACAGACATGATCACCTGGAGGCCCCAGGGAAGGACTTGGGGGGCTATGGAGAAAAGGGGTGATGAATCCTTGCCCCTAGGCTTTGACAAAGCCTGACTCCCCTGCTTCCTCGAGACATCTCCGAAAATTCCTTGGCTATCTGCTTCCTCTGCCTGACTTAAGCCTGAAAACAATGAGAGGGTGGTATAGCCCTGTGCTGGAAAGGGCGCCCCCCCCACCCCAGTGATCAGGCCTGAGAAATGATATGTAAAACCCTGTGAAGCCAATTTTGCTAAGAATGGTCTTAAATGATAAAGGCCCAGCAGAAAATGAGTTTGTTTCCCAAAGTCCTGTAGCCTTTTAGCTGATAGACCCTGACTCAGAAGAAGCCCTAATAGTTCTTTGTATGCTATCTATGGTTTGATCCTTACTGCCTGACAATGATTAATAAGCTGTACCTGTATTCCTGCATAAATTAAACCCAATGAAAGCCTGTCTAGGCAAGGGTCAGCATGCTCTCCCCTTAACAGGGTGGCCAGGCCGTTCTGAGGCGCTCCCCCCTTGAGGGAGTAGCCACGCCATCCCTTTTCCTCCACAGGACTTGGTAGTCTGTGTGAATTTATCTTGATTTTCCATCCATAAACCGTGGGCACTGCAGGCCAGTGCACACATCAATCTAATAACCAGAAATACATTTTTATGTGTCAAAAAAAGCATATGTTCACAAATATGTACAAGATGTAATGTCCTCTGCCAAACAGTACAAAATATCTACAAGGACAGCAAATGAAAACAGACTCATACTGAGCCACCTCCACTGAGCCTAGTATTGCAGGGGACAGATGCAGAGAAGAATGTACTCATTCCTGCCTTCAAGGAGAATGTGGCATAGCTCGGGGGGAAATGGAAACACAAACACTGACAAGAGAGTGACAGTACCGAAGAGAGGGATCAGCACAGGAGGAAGAGGCTGAACTAACCCAGCTGGGGCAAGTACTCAAGAAAGACTTCTGGAAGGAGCTGAGTCAAAAGAGGAGTAGGAGTTAGCCGGGCAATGACAGGCAAAAGGTGTCTCGGGTGATGACAACAGAGTGTGCAGAGGCTCTGAGGGTCACATTAGAGATGACTCGGCAGTGAAAGATAAAGTGCAGAGATGAGCAAGGGCCTGATGTGCCATCCTAAGGAATTTGGACTTTATCTCGAAGGCCATTGCAGATTTTTATTTTATTTTTTTAATTTTACTTATCCTTAGAGGGGAAGGATAGGGGAGGGGAAGGAGAGAGGGAAAGAAAAAGCAATGTATGGCAGCCTCTCGTGCGTCCCCTCCTGGGAACTGGCCTGCAACCCAGGCATGTGCCCTGACTGGGAATTGATGAAGATTTTAAGTCTTATTAATGTACATCTAATAGTGTGGGGTAAGGCTACACTTAACAATGCATACTGAATTCAGGCTATGTACTACATCCTGGGAGCTCAATGGTAAAAAAGACAGACATGATTTCCACAATCAAGGTTCCTATTGTAAGTGGTTTTACAGTAAACAAATCACTGTAAATTATAATAAGCGCTACAAAATCAAAGAATAAAGTGCCGAGACCCTAATGAGCATGGATAGGAAGGACACACCTAAGTTGACAGGGTCAGAAGAGGCCTTACACCCTGAGGAAGTGACATGTAAACAGAGACATGAAGAAAAAGGGAAGTAATGTGTGCAAAGGCCATGACTAATAAACAGTTTTGCATGTTCAAGGAAACGTAAGAAAGCCAGTGTGTCTGGGGTCCAGACGGCAAGGCAACAAGTAGCAGGAAGTAAAACCTGAGAGGGGCCAGAACATACAAAATCCTGTAGGCCATAACAAACTGAGATTTTTATCTTCAATGCAGCAAACCAGTGAACAGTTTTAACCAGGGGAATGACATGATCTGAACATTTTAAAAAATCATTCTATATACCTGATGAAGAATGTATTAAAGAGACAAAAATAGAAGTAGAACGCCACTTAGAATGCTACTGAAATTGTACAGAAAGAGATGATGGTTACTTGGACTAGGGTTGTAACAGTGGAGAAAAGGCATAGGCAGGTTCTAGAAATATTCTGGAGGTAGAATCGAAGGGTTTACGGACAGAGAGTAAGTGTATTAAGGGTGAGGGAAAGGGAGAACTCAAAGTGACTCCTAGGACTGTGGCTTGAGCAAATGCATAGATACTGAAATGAGGAGCAAGGAAGTGAAACTGGTTTGAGGAAGAAATTGACTTTTTTGTTTTGTTTTAACATGTTAAATATAGTGGGCTGAATAATGAAACCCAAAGCTGTCAGGTCCTAATCCCAGGAATCTGTAAATGTTGTCTTATACAGAAAAAGGATCTCTGCAGATTCGATTAAATCAAGAATCTTGAGCTGAGGGAGTTATCCTGGATCATCTGAGGAGGCCCGAAATGCTGTCACCTGTGTCACTATAAGAGGGCAAAGGGAGACTTCACAGACAGAAAGGAGAAGGCAGTGTGATCAGAGAGGCAGAGAGATGAATGATGCAGCCACAAGCCCAGCAAGGCCAGCAACCACGTGAAGCTGCAGAGACAGGAACTGGTTCTCCCCGAGAGCCTCTGGAGGTAGCACAGTCCTGTTGACACCATGACTTTTGGTCCAGTGAGACAGACAGATCGCAGATTTCTGGCCTACAGAACTATGAAAGAATATACTTCTGTTGTCTTAAACCGTCAGGTTAATGGTAATTTGTTATAATAGTCACAGGAAATGAATACATTAAATTGGAGATGCCTGTAAAACATCCAAATAAGCTGTTATGCAAGAGTCTGGAGTTCAAAAGCGAGTTATTGTTTCAAATACACCTAAGGGTTTGAAAGTTGTACTCTTACCTCCAAGTCCTTCCGAATGCTCTCAAACTCCTCGATGTCATCAAGCTTCAGTTCCAGGCGGGTTGGTTTTCGTCGTAGCATAATGAAATCAACACTAAGGGCCAGGCCCAGTGAACAATCAGCTGTTAAAAATGGCAGAGAGGAGGGGAAATGGGAGGGTTAAATAGCTGCAAATGTGAGATCAATTTCTAAGCATGCATGCTAAACTGAATGGAAATGCAAAAGGCTCATGGATTCACACAAAGACTTCTAAGTCTTCAGATGTCTGAACTTTACATTTTTGTTACAAAATAGAGATCCACAACTCGGTTATTCCAAAAAACTCTTTCTTCATGAACTTAAAATAACAAGTTGCCTATAAAAGAGAATTCTAGGAAAGTCACTTTATTTTTTTTTACTTTTTTATTTTTTGTAAGATTTTATTTATTTTTAGACAGGGAAAGGGAGGGAGAGAGTTAGAGAAACATCAGTGTGTGGCTGCCTCCTACATGGCCCCCATTGGGGACTGGGGACCTGGCCCGAAACCCAGGCATGTGCCCTGACCAGGAATCAAACCGGCAACCATTTGCTTCAAAGCCCGAGCTCAATCCACTGAACCACACCAGCCAGGCCTAGACAAGTCATTTTAATCTCATGATCCAATCATACTCAAAGACATTTTCCAGCTAAGAGAATAACTTTAAAACATCACATCTTAATTCGGTAACACTAATTCAGTGTTGGTGGGAGAGTACACAACCGATTAAAGTTGATCAACTATACAGGAGAATTGTGAGAGATTTGTGAGTACTCCTGAATACTAAAATCAGTTTACTGAATCTCTTGAAAACTCTTAACTCACCAATTCATGGGGTTATCTGTAGGGTCTAAATAGGTCCTAAATAGATAAGTCATTCATTAAACAAACACTTCTTTGTGCTCCAGCTGCAGGGTTAAAAGGCACAGCCACAGTGTGTAGAGAAAATGAACATGTAAACAGAAAACTGCATAGTGTACCAACAGCATCGATAAGGGTAATGCAATGGCATCACACAGGCCTGATCCACTCTGAGTTGAGTGGGAGGGGGGAGGACAGGACAGGGAGGACTTCCTGGAGGAGATGATGTCTTAGTTGACTTGTGAAGAGCAGGCAGAGAAAAAGGATTAAGGGCATTCTAGGCTGAGAGAATAAGGACGCAAAGGGGCTCCAGAGAACACTCTAGTCTGAAAACCCAAGGTAATGCTTATGCTAACAAAACACATTTTTTGGAGGAAAAAAAAATAAAACTTCCCCACTGAGTTTAAAATCTACTGATGTCATTCATCTTTACATTCTCCACAGTATCCAGTAAAATGTATCTATAATAATCAGGCAGTAAATGTTTTGTTGAATAAATGAGAGATCCAAATAAAGTGAAGTGAATTTTCCTTGAGTACTGTGCTGTGCTTCTCCCTTCTCATCCTATACATTTTTTAAACACAGAATCCCCGTGATGTTGGCAAAATTATCCCTGTTTTACAAATGAAGTCAAAGCTGTTGTTTGGTTAATACATGTCAGCCTCCCATAAAAATTATACATAGGTTACACAGTGAAGATTAAATGAGAATGAATGAGCGAAAGCTCCTTTACTTACAGACATAAATTATTATTACGTTATCTAGGATGTAGCTAGGAACTGCAAAGTGGACAAAGGGAGAAACGTTTCCTTCTCCCTCCCATGAAAATTGGGACGCACACAGGTGATATTATCAACACAACATACTAGCACATCACGTTTCAAATAGTATTGTAGTAAATCAGATTCTGTGTTGATTCCAATGTAGATGACTGGTGGAGGAAGCCAAAGCTCCGGGGAGAAATGCTGAAAGGAAAAAAACACTGCTTTGCGCAGTCTTCACTTTTCTGCAAACTGCGAAAAGCTTGCCACTAGGGGGCAGTATAGGGTAGCGGGTAAACATGCCCACTCTGGAGAGAAAAGGGTAGAGAGGTTCTAATACTATCCATTGCTCATCTTAAACAATTACGTTTAAACAATCTACGTTTAGATTTATTTCTAAATCAGCACTGTTATTGTATTGGCTAACTGACGTAAGGGACACTGAGTTCCTGGAATATAACTTATTCAGTAAACGCTCAGTGAATAACAGCCATCATCATTGTAACTGTCCTTGTGGAAAGGGGCGGGAAACACCAGTATTTTGAGCATCACCCCCGACATGAGGGCAAAGACCTCATCTTTTTCACCTCTAGTGCGCCGGCATCCAGCGGGGCGCAGGACCCTGCAGAGTTGTTTGCACGTACCTGACGCTTCACATGCATCACCTCATTTTGAATTTGATACAAAGAGCAGGCTGAAACCAGCATGAGCAGGCCGTAACTCCTCTGCCGGGTCTTTATTTTACTTTGGCGCTAGAGGGCTCTTTGAGCTTAATCTCTCACTACTGCCTAAATTCACCCACCCAAAAAAGAACCCCAGGGCAAGAACTTCCGGACGGAGCGATGAACAGCTTGCTCGCAGCAGCTTCTGGGTAGCCCTCGCAGGTCCAGGGCAAGGGTTTCCATGGCAACGCGGTCCCCCGCCCCCGGACCACGGAAAGCATCTTACAAGGCCCCAGAAGCCCTCAATTCACTCAGTTCAGTCCGGGACGGCGCGACTTCACGGACCTACCTCTTCTCAAGCCTGCTCAGCCCCGGTACAGAACCTCAGCGCTCACCGCGAATCTTCTGCTAAGCACCGGACTACACTTCCCAGGCTGCTCTGAGCCTCTCTCCTCGCAGAACCCCGACGTTCGCGTACGTTTCGCGACGACCCTACGGGTCACACTTCCAGATGTTCCCACAAGCTCTCTTTCTCTCCCACTACGATTCCCATCGTCCTCCACGATGCCCGAGACATCCGTCGCTCTGAGCCAACTTCCGGCCAGTGACGCACTTCCGCTCCGCTGGGTGCGCGCGGTGGATTGTTTGAAACACAGAGCTCGACTTTCCCTGGGCTTCCGCGGCTCCCGAGCCCAGCATGGCTTCCTCACGAACTTCCTCCACGGTACAGATTTCAGGCAGTGCTTACCCTAGCAGGCAGTGCGGAGGGGTTTGGGATCCCTGTGGCATGGCCAGGGCAGTGGGAGGGCTGAGGAGGAAGGCTGCAAGACTCGGTTTTGTCTTAGCGGAGCTTCATTTTCCTGATTTCTAAGGGCTTTCTTGTGCTTAAATTTATTTGCACCTTTCATACAGCCGCGAACTGTATGAACCTTTTCCGACTAGTCCATAAACGGAGCTCTGAAAGGGAGTGGTGTCATTGGCAAAGATTTATGTTTATGTCAACCTTCTTTATTGCCATGAGGCCTCCCAACTTCGTATGTATTACCTGTTGTCTGGAAACGTTTGAAATTTATAAACCGGTACTTTCGTAACTTGTTCCCCCTTAACATCGAGTTGGTTATTTTATTTGTCCTTTATATTTTTCCTGTGATGAGCAAGAACCCTGGAAGTTTCATAAAACCCGAGGAGAGATTGCACTCCAGCCGAATGAATTAAACATGTTCCAAAGCAAAACCTTGATAGAAAAGTCACGAAAAGAAACTAAGTACTTTTATCAACCTCTTCTGTTTGAGATATTGAACACTCACACCTCACTCCCTATCAGGGAAGACGTCTTAACTGCTGTCCTCCTTGTTCTTCCCTTTGGGGAGGAAAAACAATTGAAGCTCAAGATGAACTTTATCCTAGGAAGTTGTTAAGACTAAGCCTTAGGTTAATCCAAGTCTTTGATTTAGCAGGCAACCAAAACTAAGGCACCGGATGATTTGGGGGCTGCTGTTGTGAAGAAACCACACATCTATTATGGAAGTTTGGAGGAGAAGGAGAGGGAGCGTCTGGCCAAAGGAGAGTCTGGGATTTTGGGAAAAGAAGGACTGAAAGCAGGAATTGAAGCAGGGAATATTAACATAACCTCTGGTAAGATGCAAATCGTGAGTCCATCTTTATCTTTAGTGCCCAAATTTTTCTCAGTGAATGCCTTCCTAAACTTAGATATTACTAGGGTTTACAGTGTCAAAAACTGCTGTTTTTAAACTCATATCTATATATGGTCATACTTTGCCTACACTGCTTAGCAGCAGTCAGCATTTTGCTTTAAACCTGTTAAAGTTTTTTCCCCACGAATTGTTAGTGGTTTTACCAGACTCCGTATGTATAGCTGACCCTTGAACAACATGGGTTTTAACTGCATGGGTCCACTTGTATGCAGATTTTTTCCAATAAATATTATAAATGTGTTTCCCTTATGATTTTTAATAACATTTTTTTCTCTAGTCTGTATTGTAAGAATACAGTATATAATGTATATAACATACAAAGTATGTGTTAATTGACTGTTTATGTTGTCGGTAAGGCTTACAGTCAGCAGTAGACTGTTAGTAGTTAAGTTTTGGAGGAAGTCGAAAGTTGCAGGCGGATTTTTCACTGCACCAGGTTTTGGCACCCCCTCCCTCCTTGTTCAAGGGTCAAACTGTATTTAGATTCACATTGATTCCGTTTGTCTTCTGAAGATCTAGCACCATTCTGGCATTGGTGTGGAACTACTGTGGTTTATAATAGTCTGTTTCTAATTTTCTAAACATTTTCCTCCCAAAATGAAGTACGTTTTTTAATTATAAAAATTATAGTTACTTTTATTTTGAAAAAATCATTGTAGAAATGTGTGGATTAGAAAACCTTTAATCTTTATAATTGGGTTATGTCTTTCCATGAACTTACTGAACCTCTAAGTATATCATTTTTTCCCATAAACAAAGCCATGACATACAAATTGTTTTGTAACCTGTATTTTTCACTCTATATACTGTTGAGGATATCTTTCCATGTCAGTAACTAGTGGTCCACTATATTTCTAAAATAAAATTATTCATGTTTATAATAAGAAATTCAAACAGTATGGAATGATATAAAGTGGAAAGACTTCTTGCTCTGGTTGAGTAGTTCGGTTGGTTAGAGCGTAGTCCCGATAGGCCAAGGTTGCAGGTTCAATCACTGGTCAGGGCACATACAAGAATCAACCAACAAATGCATAAATAAGTGGAACAACAAATCAGTGTTTCTTTCTCTCTCTCTTCTTCTTCTCCCCCCTTCTTTCTTCCCCCTTTCTCCCTCTCAAATCAATAAATAAGAATGTTTAAAAAGTGAAAAGACTTCTCTGCACAAGGAACTTCAATCAGGTTTCTCATTGGTCCTCCTGTGTGTTTTTTTCTTACATGCATGCACTTTGGCAATTTCCCTAACCTTTTACACTACTTTAAACATAATTGCATCAGTACTGTACTTAGCATTTTCATACAAATGCTTATATATTTGGTGTGGGTTTTTAAACTAGCTATAAGATTTCTCAAAAAGCCTTGTAGTCAAGCAGTATTATTTTCATGGAAATAATTTTTGTTATTTCCAATTTACTGTTTTCACCAATGTCCCAATACTGGGACTGTTTTAGAGAATAAATAGCTTTGGCAATGGTTAAAATAATGTTTCTATTATATCTTCTGGATAGAAGGCCTAGTTAACTCATTTACTAAGCGTGCTTCATACTCTACTTTCTTATGTAAGGTATGTATTTATATAAGGGTAAGGTTGCCAGATGAAACAAGACGGCTGGAATTATTTTGGTACCTTTTAAAGCTGTGTCCTTGTCCTGATTGGTGTGGCTCAGGCGGTTGCTAGTCATTCTGCAAACCAAAGGGTCACTGGCTCAATTCCAGGTCAGGGCACATTGCCTGGGTTGTGAGCCAGGTTCCCAGTTGGGGGCTTGTGAGAGGCAACCCATCACTTTCTCACATCAGTGTTTCTCTGCCTCTCCTTCTCTCTTCCTTCTTCTCAATAAATAAATAAATAAATAGTACATAAATAAATAAGAGAAATAAACCTGTATTATTTAGTTTTCTTTGGGATAAGTTAATAAACTGAGAAACAGCAAACTATATAAAATGTAGTAGACAGTTAACTTTTGTGAGGGCCATACACAGACTCCAGTTGTAAGAAATATATTTTTTTCTAATTGATTTCACTATCTGGTGATTATGCTGATGTTGCCTGTTCTTTTTATAGGGGAAGTGTTTGAAATTGAAGAGCACATCAGTGAGCGACAGGCTGAAGTACTAGCTGAGTTTGAGAGAAGGAAGCGAGCCCGGCAAATCAACGTTTCCACAGACGACTCAGAGGTCAAGGCTTGCCTGAGAGCCTTGGGGGAGCCCATCACACTTTTTGGAGAGGGTCCTGCTGAAAGAAGAGAAAGGTGCCCTTTCTAAATGTCTACTCTTCTTTACCCACAGGAGTCTAGTTGCAAGTTTCAGTTGGTATTTATAGCAAAAACTTTAGTAGAATGTCTCAGATATTGTTAACAGAATATCTTAAGTTGTATTTATATAACTTAATCTACCATTTGAGTCTTAGGCCAGTTTTTACTTCCACTGCTAATTTTTCTTTATGAACTGTGAAGAGGGTGTTAACATGCTCCCCCTTTTCCTCTCCTCTTTCCTCCCCTCCCCAGTGTGGAGTTTTCAGTTGGGTAAACATTTGTAGTTGAACTTGGAAAATTTAAATAACAGGGACTTCCAGCCAACACAGAGGCATAGGTAGATACACTTTGTCTCCTCACACAACCAAAAGGACAATAACAAGTTTAAAAACAAAAAATAACCAGAACATCAGAAAATCGAACTGTGTGAAAGTCTGACAACCACGCAGAAGAAACGTTAAAGAAAAAACATTCATCCAGACCAGTGGGGGGGGGGGGGCAAAGAGGACTCACAGCAAGGCGGCAGCTGGCAGACCAGGCGGTCCCACATTTGCATGCAGATAAACCAGGAAGAACAACTGAGGAGCAAGACAGACTGCATAGGAAATAGTGTGGGGACAGTGCAGGGTAATAAAGCCTCACAACCTCTGGCTTTAAAAACCTGTGGAAGTTGTGGCGGGAAAAACTCCCAGCCTCACGGGAGAATTGGTTGAAGAGACCCACAGGGTCCTAGAATGTACACAAGCCCACCCTCCCAGGAATCAGCACCAGAAGGGCCCAGTTTGCTTGTGGGTAGTAGGGGAAGTGACTGAAAGTGGGCTGAGAGCTGAGTGTTTGCCCTCGGATCCCACCCCACATACAACACCACGGTGCAGCAACATGGCAGCCCCTCCCTGGCAACTAAGGCTCCTCCCCTTACTACAGAACAGGTACAGTGAGACCAAAAAATACAGCCCAAATGAAAGAACAGATTAAAGCTCCAAAAATAGAACTAAGTGATGAAGATAGCCAACCTATTAAATGCAGAGTTCAAAACACTGGTAATCAGGATGCTCACAGAAATGGTTGAGTATAGTCACAAAGGAGGAAGAAGTGAAGGCTATGCAAAGTGAAATAAAGGAAAACGTATAGGAACCAACACTGAAGGGAAGGAAACTGGGACTCAAATCAATAATTTGGAGCAGAAGGAAAAAATAAACTTTTAACCAAAACAGAATGAAGAAACAATTCAGAAAAATGGGGAGAGGCTTAGGAACCTCCAAGACAACTTTAAATGTTCCAATATCTGAATCATAGGGGTGCCAGGAGAAAAGGAAGAGGAAGAAATTGAAAACTTATTTGAAAAAATAATGAAGGAGAACTTCCCCAATCTGGCAAAGAAAATAGACTTTTAGGAAGTCGGGAAGCTCACAGAGTCCCAAAGAAGTTGCACCCAAGGAAGCACATACCAAGGTACATTATAATTATGTTACCCAAGATTAAAGAGAAGGAGAGAATCTTAAAAGCAGCAAGAGAAAAGGAGACAGGTACCTACAAAGGAGTTCCCATAAGACTGTCAGCTGATTTCTTAAACCTTGCAAGCAAGAAGAAGCTGGAAAGAAGTATTCAAAGTCATGAAAGGCAAGGACCTACATCCAGGATGACTATCCAGCAAAGCCATCATTTAGAATGGATGGGCAGATAAAGTGCTTCCCAGATAAGGTCAAATTAAAGGAGTTCATCATCACCAAGCCCTTATATGAAATGTTCAAGGGACTTACTAAGAAAAAGAAGATCAAAAATATGAACAGTAAAATGACAACTCACAACTATCAACAGCTGAACCTAAAACTAAAACAGAAACACATCAGACAAACAACTAGATCAGGAACAGAATCACAGAAATGGAGATCACATGGAGGGTTATCAGTGAGGAGGGGGTGGGGTGTTTGAGGGAAAAGGTACAAGGAGTAAGAAGCATAAACGGTAGGTACAAAATAGATAGGGAGGTTAAGAACAGTATAGGAACCTGGGTTGTGAACCAGGTTCCCAACTGGGGTCTTGCGAGAGACAACCTATTGTTCTCGCTTTTTAACATATAAGTTAAAGAACTTACCTGTATGACCCATGGACATGAACTAGGGGGGAATTGCGGGGAGGGGGGGCATGCAGAGTGGAGGAGAATAAAAGGGAGGAAAAAATGGGACAACTATAATAGCATAATCAATAAAATATACTTAAAAAATTTAAAGGCTTTCCTTATCAATGACATAAAGCAATTCTAAGTATTTTTGGATATTACCGAAAAGGAGCACTATCCTCAGATAATGCTCCTTTTGTGATTTTAAAATTGCAGTCTCTTAGTGACAGGCGACTCACGCAGTTATGAGGCCCTTGTCTTTCTGTTCACTGTCCTATCTCTTCTCATCATGTTTTTTCTTGGTTTGCATAGTGTGTATGTTTAATTACTTTAGAACTTCTAACAATATCTCACATTCATTAAACATAACCAGCAGTGCTGGGCATGTTTGAATTACAAGGGAAGGAAACCATTTTTCTTGTCCTCCGTGCTTCAGCCATACTGAACCGTTTGTGATTCCGAGCTCAGCATGGTTTTCTCCTGTCCAGACATTGTTGAACCTGTGGCTCAGCAGTCCTCTCCTGTTCTTCACCTACTGACCAGACTGAACGGGGACCCGGGTTATGTAACACCTTCCCTGATCCTCCAAACCTAGGCTGGGTGTTCCATTTATGTTTCCCCTTAGCACCCTGTACTTACCACTGTGTTGTTACTTTATATATATATATTACACTGTATATATGTATATATATATATAATGCAATGTATAGTTCCCTGTTATTTTCTGCCCCCCTCCCCACCCCACCCTGCAGGGCTGTGCTACTTGAAATCAGAACTGTTTCTTAGTTATTGTTGCAAACTTAGCACCTGAGTGGATATCAGCACATGGGGCACTGAGTGAGGGGTGGCTGGGTGGGGCTGATAACTCCCATTTGAGTAGGATAATTACTGGTAGTTCAGCTTAGGGTATTTTAAAGAAGATAAATGAACGAAATCAGATAGAAGTTAAGGGGTGACATCTTGAATCTCAGAGAAGGTTGCTTGGAGTTTGAATGTCAGAAGGTAGGGGAAGCTTTCTCCCTTCTTAGATGTACTTTTCAAAATCTCACCTCGGTTTAAATCTCTATCTTTTTTGGTATAGGTTAAGAAACATCCTCTCAGTGGTCGGCACTGATGCCTTAAAAAAGACCAAGAAAGATGATGAGAAATCTAAGAAGTCCAAAGAAGAGGTAAAACATGTCTCACCTTCATAATATAAACATGACGGACATGAATAGTTTTTTCGATTTATGTTTCCAGTGGTTTGTTTTGCTGGGATTGCGGGTGGGGAGTTGACAACTCCACCGTTCAAGAATAGTTGTTAGCAGTAGTTTGTGGCTCCTTCGTAGGTATAAATGGAGTTAGTGGGTTTCGGGAAAGAACTGTAAAATTCCTAGTGTAACTTCGAACAAGGAAGCAGAATCCTTCTAGTAAGACCTCAGAGACAAACCCAGTGGAAGTACACATGCCTGATTTCGTCCTGTTACTGAACTAATTCACCTTTTTTTCTGGACAGTTAAAACAGAATTGACAGCTCTGAGATTGAGGGCAGGAATGCTTCACACTTAATTTTTTTGCCCTGTATTTAACTTTTAGTATCACCAGACATGGTACCATGAAGGACCAAACAGCCTGAAAGTGGCTAGACTGTGGATTGCCAATTACTCACTGCCCAGGTAAGGAGGGCCTCTAGAGGAGAAGTGCATCTTTCCTTGTTTCCTTTCAGGGACTGAGGATCTGCTCTATAATGACTGGCTGTTAAGTGAAATTGAGTGGCAGCATGCTTGTGTAGACCCCTTGTCTAAAAGCCATTGGCTTATGATGGTATTGTTGCTTGTGTGCCGTAGGGCAATGAAACGCTTGGAGGAGGCCCGTCTGCATAAAGAGATCCCTGAGACAACCAGGACCTCCCAGATGCAGGAGCTGCACAAGTCTCTCCGGGTAAGATGCCTTCAGAAATTGTCCAGTATCTTAAAGGTTCTTAAATATTCAGTAGCTTTTCTATTTTGGCCCACCTGTAGGAGGGTAAGGGTAGCTGTGGTTATTTCTGTCTGCTTACACTGTCGCCCTCTGGGAGGACCATCCGTTTAGGTGGCGGGAACCTCCTGTAGTTTGTACTCAGCAGAGGCCTGTGGCTCTGCTCCTTAATCCTTCCTTTTAGGATGTCAGAGCGGAACCGTAGATCTCTCTGCGGCTTTCTTCTTTATATTTAGCTGACACAGAGTCTAGTGATGCTAAGACTGTAGAAGACAGTGTGCTGGGTGTCAGATAAGCCTTGACTCCATTTATTCATGAATATAAGTGTCTCCTAACTGCCCTCCTCCCAAAAGTATAAAGGAATCTTGGGTTATCTTAAACCCCAAGTTGCTTTTTTATAGTGAAAAAGCCAACTCTTGGGTTAGCCTATTAATGATTACCTTTGTTTGTTTGTTTGTTTGTTTGTTTGTTTGTTTAAGTCTCTGAATAATTTCTGCAGTCAGATCGGGGATGATCGGCCTATCTCCTACTGTCACTTCAGTCCCAATTCCAAAATGCTGGCCACAGCCTGTTGGTAAGTTCCATGTTACAGTGACTCTTTTCATCCTAAATAGGCACCAGGTTTGGTGGGGCAAATCAGCATGTCTTAGATGTCTATTTCTAAATCTTCCTCGTCTGTTTCTCATGATCCTACCGCACTGGAGAATCTGCTGCTCTGCCTGTTTGTTAGACAGTGATAAAGTCTGTGAGCAGTTCTGACTGTTCACAAGGGGCTGCAGAGATCATGACCTCAAGCAGTCGGTCACGTTCTTGACACTCATATTTTGGAGCATATCGTAGAGGGAGCTGACAGACTGACTACGACCCACACCCCAGTAGAGCGTTTCTTTTTCAGTTATGTGGCCTAGCCAAGACACTTGTTCTCTGTAAACTTGTCTTTTTATCTGAATATAGGGTGAGATGATGTTATAAAACATTTGGCCTTGATAGTGCTTGGTATGTGGTAAGAACTCAGTAAACATGGATCACTATTTTTATCTTTACTTTTTACTTACCCACCATATTTGCAAAAAACTCTTAGGACATGATAACTCTTGTTCTACTTTAGTTATTTGTGTGGGACATGGCCCATGAGATAGTAAGAGGGGAAACTTTCTTATATTGTATACACAGGAACTACTTGTCTAGGCAGAGGTTGAGGCCGTGGTTCAGGAGAAAGCCAAGGACCTACACAAATGTCTCCACCACCCTAAGCCTCGGTGCCTTCACTGTAAAGCAAAAGTTTTCATTCCTATTTTATATACCTCACAGGTCTGTTAATAAGGATCATTTGAAATTATAGGTGTAAAAGTAATTGGAAATTTTCTGACATACAAAATCTTTAAAAATTTCTTTAAATAGAAAAGAAGTCTAAAAATGTTAAGTACTTTGTAAGCAGCAAAATGCTAATCATAATTAAGAAGATAGTGTCATTATTAATATTGTTATTAGATAGTTTTCTTATAGGATTTTATTTCTTTACCTTTAGAAAGAGGGGAAGGGAGGGAGAAAGAGACAGGGAAACATCAACGTGAGAGAGAAACATCAGTGGGTTGCCTCTCACACGCCCCCAGCTGGGGATGTAGTCCGCAACCCAGGCCTGTGCCCTGGCTGGGGCTCGGACCATCAGCCTTTGTGCGGGAGCAGTGTTGCAGTCTGGTGCTTAATCCACTGAGCCACACAAGTCAGGTGTGGGTAGTTTAATTTGTCCTGCCTTCCCTCACAAATTGATCCAGAAGTTAAGGGGAATAAAAACCCATGTGTATTACTTACAGTCCAGTAGAGGCCTCTGGCTGCTTGAGACTTGGATGTAGCTCTGTACTCAGCACTTCAAATGACCAGCCTTTCCTTTTTCTGTCTGCCATTGTAAAGTTTATTGAGGGTGAGGAGAGATTGTCCGTTAGTAATGTTACCAAGGTGCCTTTTCCTCCCCAGACCAACCCTGGCTGAGGTGCTTTCCTTTGTATTTGATAGGAGTGGGCTTTGCAAGCTCTGGTCCGTGCCCGATTGCAACCTCCTCCACACTCTTCGAGGTGAGTTAGAATCGCATCTACATCTGTGCCTGTGTCGCAGGGTGAGCTCTGCTGAGCCATGAAACTCTGCCTGACACTCAGACCCAGGGTGCACAAAGTTCATTCTTGATTTGTTTTGACCAAGTTTGGTTTCTCCAGCCCCGAGGCTGGAGACACTGACGTCATGCACACACCAGTTTCCTCTCAAGTTCAGCCCCACTCTGGTGTTTTACACCCTCCCTCCTCCCCCCCCTTTTTTAAAGAAAAAAAGAATACATTTATTTACGTTTAAGAGAGAAGGTAGGGGAGGGAGAAAGACAGGGAAACACCCATGTGCGAGAGAAACAGTGCAGTTACCTGTCACACACCCCTGGCTCCCCGGGGACCTGGCCCACAACACCCAACCCACGGAGCCACGCCAGTCAGGGCTGTTTTGCTTTTTGTTGGTGTGATTTAAATACTAGTTTACATTAAAATGGTTTATTTTTTTAACATAGTTGAATACTTTAATGCACTATATCATGGGTCCCTAACATTTACCTATATTATTCCTTGTACTGTGTATTTGCACAGAAGTTATAAGGGAGCAGGAACCCTTTAACTTCATCTCTTACACTCCTTCAGGCCATAACACAAACGTAGGAGCAATTGTATTCCATCCAAAATCCACTGTCTCCTTGGACCAGAAAGATGTCAATCTGGCCTCTTGTGCTGCCGATGGTTCTGTGAAACTTTGGAGCCTCGACAGGTGAGCGTTACAGCCTCCGTACTGCAGCCACTGAAGTAAATGGCGGGCTGGCTGGCCCTCGGGACCTGCAAACCTGGCATTTAACCCCAGAGATACTCTTAAGAGTCAAGGAAACTTGTTATAAAAATAGAATAGAGGGTTTTTCTTAACACGTTTCTCACCAAAGGAGTTGTGTCAGGTTTTTATTTGTTCACTTTAGACCTTGATTTTTTTAATATAGTGGCCACTTCTTTCCTGGCTCCAGTTGTTCTGGAAAGATCCATCTTACTCCCCGTGCAGTAGGTTGACATTGGAGAGATGCACTGTTTGGTAGACTGACTAAACATGATATTGAGCAGTACGTTGGTTTCAGCATACAGCACACAGCACCCGGGGAGAGGAAAGTGCAGTTCTGTCTGGCAGTATTGCCGAGGAAGTGTCTCCTCTGGGGGCATCATCCCTTACCCACACCGTACTGTCCAGTTATCGATAAAACAGTTTTTTTAATGTGTTTATGCTTATTGTTTTTCAAGAAACTTTTGGAAGCGTGTTGTTGGCTAAAAGACATCAGAATTCAATTGCTTAGTTTTATTTCTTTGGGGAAGCACAGGAGGCTTTTGTTCCAGGCTTTTGTAAAGAGCTAATTAGCGTCTCCATTCTGTAGCAGATGGGGTCTTACCTAGGAGCACAGCAGGTTGTAATTGGCTTTGGTAATATTTAGCAATATTTGTTCCCCCAGGGCTTTGATTAGTTGTGTGCGTGCACATTGACAAAGTTCCCTCTTTAATTGCCGTCTTTAGGGTTCTTGTTTATTTCCTTCCGCAGGTGTTTCAGGTCTTCTTTCCGTGGTTACTGGGGAGTAGAATTTAATGGCCACTGAAAGGAAATGAAGCCTTTGTCTACTTACGAGTTCCTTTTCCCATGGGGATCCTTGAACACGCTGAAGTTTGAGGAGGTTTATTTGTGATCCGCCTGCACCCAAACTACTTGGTTTTTGTAGCCTCACATCTCCATCAAAGTGTGTCCTCTTTCTAGAATTTCAACACCTCTTTGGTGCAGAAAAACAATTTTGCTTATCTGTATTCTCTCTGGTTCTAAGTGTTATATAGCCTTAAGAGCTCATTAGCATAGTGAGTTGAGGTAGAAAGTGTATTTTTTAAAGTTCTGGGGACACTTTTGCCCTGTGGGTGCAGGAAGTAGTCCTCAGTCTTTTAAAACCTTGGGAAATGAGTTAAATCATTGTTAGCCCTAACTTGGTTTTAACAAATGACAAATTTATTTATAATTTGGCCTCTCAAATTGTACAGAATTGGTGCATCTATGTTCAGCAGTTAATAAAGTCAACGAATATTTATCTACATGAGTATAAAAGTTTACTCACATGTATTTGCTTCCTTTTCAGTGATGAACCAGTGGCAGATATTGAGGGCCATACAGTGCGTGTGGCCCGTGTAATGTGGCATCCATCAGGACGTTTCTTGGGTACCACCTGGTAAGCCTTTCTGTTCTGTCTTGTTGACCCTTTATGGTTCACTGCCAAGTAAATTTTTAGAACAGAGATCTTCAAGAAGGATGTTCTTGGACAGCAAGGAATCAGAATAGAAAACGTATTTTGCTGTGTATAGTCCCTCCCGGGTATAATGCACACCCACGTTTTGGGCCCAGACTTTGAGGTGGGGGGGGCATCTTTTGCTTTAATTTGTTAATCCAATTATTTATCTATTTTTATTTAGAAACAAAACTGATTATTGTATTCCAAGGTATTTTTTTTGCATGTGGATATCATTATTGCTTTCTAGAGTTACACTTTTAATGCATGAGCATTGATAAAAGAATCAAAAATATTTACATATATACAGAATTAGTACTGTCTGTGTATAAGGTGCATCCTTGTTTTTCCCTCAAAAATTAGTGCAAAAATTTGCACATTATACATGGCAAAATACGATATATTATATATTTAGGGCTAAGTATATTTGCTCTTACATTGCAGTTCATCTGAAATTTTAAAGTCACTAGTCCAAAAAACTAGAATTTTCATTTTATATTCTCTTTCTTAACTAATACCAGAAGTTTGTGGGTTTTACTTTTTTCCCCTACACATTGTATTGTAATCTCTTCTTACAAATCAGTCACCCTTTCTGGTTCTGTAGTTTAATGAGGCCAGAATATGTTAAAGAACTTTTTTTTCTTTTTTTAAAGATTTCATTTATTTTTAGAGGGAGGAGAAGGGAAGAAGAAAGAGAGGGAGAGAAACATCAGTGTGTGGTTGCCTCTTGTGCACCCCCAACTGGGGACCCAACCCACAACCCAGGCCTGTGCCCTGACTAGGAATTGAATTGGCGACCCTTCGCTTCACAGTCCATGCTCAATCCACTGAGCCACACCAGCCAGGGCTGTGAAAAGAACTTTTAAATTGAATGTCATGTACATGAAGTGGGTATGGATTTGTTTCAAGTGCAGAATTTAATCAGTCTTGACCAGTGCAGTGCTCATGTGACTTATGTCCCTGTTGGAGAGTGCGTTTCCATCACCCCACAAGGTTCCTGCCTGCCCCTTCCCAGTAACTCCCCCCCCAGAGCAACCACTCATCTGACTTCTGTCACCAGAAATCCTGTTCGTTCCTGCTGCATGAACCTGTTTGTCTGGCTTCTTTCACTCAGCCGCATTTTGAAGATTCCTTCATATCGTTTCCACATGCCAGTAGTTCTTCTTATTGTTGAGGAGGGGTCAGTTGTATTCCTGTGCCACAACTTACTCAATTTCCTGTGGATGGACGGTTGGGCTGTTCCCAGGTTTTGGCTAGTCAGACTAAAGCTGCTGTGCATATTTTAGTGCAAGAGTTTTTGTGGATGTGTTTTTCTTTACTTTCTCTTGAACAAATACGTAGGAATGTAAATGCTGACCGTAGGGCAGATGTATATTTAACATATAAAAAACTCCCAGTGGTTTTCCGAAGTGGTTGTACCATTTTTCATTTCCAGAATTCTGATCACTTTACCTCCTTGCCAACATTTGGTTTTGTCAGTCCCATTGTTCTGCCCAATGTAGCAACTGTGTAGCAAAATCTCATGGTTTCTGTTTTTATTACCTAGATGACTATTGGTGTTGAGTACTTTGTCATATGCCTTTTGGTTGTTTGTATATTGTCTTCTATGTAGTCTTCAGGTGCTTTTCTTATTTTTTAAAAGTGTCTTTTTTTTCTGTCTTTATTTCCTTGCACATAGACAGCTCTATCGCCATTTATTGGAGAGACTTCCCATAACTTGATTAAATTGCTTGGCACCCTCATTGAAAATGATTTGACCATGTATGTGTGGGTGTATTTCTGTTCCCTTTGTTCTGTTCCACTGATTTGTCTATGGTTGGTTTTGTATCTCCAGCATCCAGTTTAGGGCCAGTAAACACCAGTGCTCGATGAATGAAAGACCATAATGGTGAAATTGGGGAGGAAAGAAGGCAACAGTCTTTGCTGAGCTACTCTTAGGGGATTCTCTTCTCAGAAATAGCCACTGAAGTAGGTTTACAGGAAGTCATGGTGTCCCAATTGGCACCCAAGACAGATACACTTATTTATTGAGACATTGTTTATACCAGGAAATAATTTCTTGTTAATAGGGTTATATGAATAGTTTCAGAAGCATAACTGAAGCTACAGCTACTAATAATACCTTGCACATTGTAAAACTGAGTAAATATCTGCAGGTTAATGACTGGTTTGGTGTTTCAGCTATGACCGCTCGTGGCGCCTGTGGGACTTGGAGGCTCAAGAGGAGATCCTGCACCAGGAGGGCCACAGCATGGGCGTGTACGACATCGCCTTCCATCAAGACGGCTCTTTGGCTGGCACCGGGTAAGGCTCTTTCCACATAGCCCGGGGCACCTCAGCAGTCTCACCTCTTATGTAAGCGTGCTTCCACAGAGGACTAGATTCAGAGTGTTCATTTGCAAATTATTTTATCAGGGGCCTGGATGCATTTGGTCGTGTTTGGGACCTGCGCACAGGACGCTGCATCATGTTCCTAGAAGGGCATCTGAAGGAAATCTATGGAATAAATTTCTCCCCCAATGGGTAAAATAAGATCATCGAGTAAGGGATGGAGAGGGTTTGGTCAGGAAGTACTCTCTGTTTCTGACTTCGATCCTGTATCTGATCCCCAGCTACCACATTGCAACCGGCAGTGGGGACAACACCTGCAAAGTGTGGGACCTTCGACAGCGGCGTTGCATCTACACCATCCCTGCCCATCATAACTTAGTGACCGGTGTCAAGTTTGAACGTAAGCTGTCCCCCTGTTTTTGGCCTAATCGTGACAAAGACAGCTTGCACTCTGATGGTAGGTAGGCAGGCTTTAGCTTAACTTGGAGGTGGAACAGGAGAGAATTTCCACTCTGTTAAAGAAGGAAATTATAATTTTCTTCCCTCTACCCCACTGCCAAGACAGAAGGACAGCAGAGCATGCTCCTTGTTGCTAGGAAGTGAAAAAGACTTCGTGAACGCTTTGCTGCATCTTTTTCTCCGTGGAAATTCAGAGCACTGAATCCTTGTTATTATTCTGAACAGGTTGTGAAAGAGCCAAAAGAACTTAAAAATGTTGTTTCCCTGAGTCTGCTTGTAGCTGTCCCTTTTTCCTGGAGGCCTAGCAGGAACACAGATGAGACTGTTGGGATTTTCTGTTGTAGAAATACCTTTTTTTTCTCTCTCAAAATGCTGTGTTCTAGAAGATTTTTGTGCTTTTTATTTTCTTGTGCTCTTCTGAATTCTTGAATTTCTCAAGCAACTCCTGTGTTTTTTTCTCTTGTAGCTATCCATGGGAATTTCTTGCTCACTGGTGCCTATGATAACACAGCCAAGATCTGGACCCACCCAGGCTGGTCCCCGCTGAAGACTCTGGCCGGCCATGAAGGCAAAGTGATGGGTCTCGACATCTCTTCGGACGGGCAGCTGATAGCCACTTGCTCATATGACAGGACCTTCAAGCTCTGGATGGCCGAGTAGGCACGGGCATAGAACAAGGACTGAAACCTCAGGCTCTCCCTTAAGAGCCATTTTCAAAGGAAAGAATGGGTGTGTTTTGTTTTATCATGTCTGTTGTCAATTACCATGTATAGACCCTCGGTAGACTGGATTCCCGACTCCAGGCAGGCAGCCCAGTTCCTGGGTGTCGGTGAGCCCCTTTCATGGTTGAATTGTAATTTTGTCTTCAAGCCCCGCCAGTAACTATGTAGACAATTGTTTTTATTAATCTTTTGTTTGAACGCCCTGTTGCCATCCTCACATCTCAGGATTGTGGCTGGGCTCCATTTTTAGTTCTTGAAACTTGGCTTTCCATTACATGGTACATGCTTCAGCACTGCACGTGACCCAGGGAGCCAGGTGGCTGGACTGCAGTGGGGAAGCCCTCAAGCAGAGAGGCACAGCTCACCGCACACTGGTGAAATATTGCCTGACAGAGGGAGAACCTGTCCTCTGCCCTGAGAACGGGCAGTGAAGAGGGGGACCCACAGCCATGCTCAGGTTACTCAGTGAAGAAGACTTTCCCTCTTCCCGTTGGCTTCACTTGGAATGCGTACGGGAACGTGCGTTGGGAGCACCGGGAAGCGCGGAACTGAACATTTGCCTTGTCGGAAAATGTCTTCCTTTTTTTTGAAGTTTGGCATCCTTTGTATTACCCCAAAGCTAGGCCATTGTGTCAAGATTCAATGAAATTTTCAGAAAGCTAATGTGATGTCTCTATTGTGTAACCTTCTTGCTGTTCGTTATTTAAAGGATATACCCCTTCATGTTGAGGTGACTCCAGAAAAAAATCTCTAAAGATTATTCCTAAACATGACCTTTTCCCTTTTTTTACAAAAAAAAAATTTATTACATACTTGGTACAGAGTAAAATCCTATTATAAAAACTGTCCTTCGAAGTATTATTTTTCGTAGTTAAGTCTTTTCTGAATCCCAGCCTTTGGTTCATCAAGGTCCCTTTTTTGGTTTGAGATATAATACATGATCTGAAATATGATTACCTCAATTTCTGTCTCCTTAATAAACAGTCTGTTAATAATTTTTTAAAAAATAGAGCCCTGTCTGGTGTGGCTCAGGGTGTTGAGTGCAGGCCTGTGAACCAAAGGGTCACTGGTTTGATTCCCAGCCAGGGCACATGCCTGGGTTGTGGGCCCAGTCCCCAGTGTAGGTGGGGGGTATGAGAAGCAACCACACACTGCTGTTTCTCTTTCTCCCTCCCTCCCCTCTGTAAAAAATAAAATATTTTTTTAAAAAATGAGGGATATTGCATTGTGGGCCAGACTACCAGTGAGCTATATCTGAACTTAATTTTTACTGGCCATCCAGCAATTACCTTCACCTTCCCCCCCACAAATGTTCAACCACTGAACGCTGAAAGTACACAGTAAATTCACACAAGTATACAGGAATTTGGGAGAAGAAAGAATTGTGCATAGAGAATCCAAGGAGAGCGTATATGCTGGATTCCCCTTGAGGTGTTAAACACACTTTTTACTTGCTATTCCAGGGGCTGATAGTGGCTTGTCTAGCTCAGTTCTTCAAACCGTGATTGTGTTGTGTAGCTAAATATTTTGTTTTGTTTAATTTGTTACAACCAAAGCGTTGCATGGCCTGTGTGTCTGTTAGGCTTCTGAATTCCCTGCTTTCATTTGGGGACTTCACTGAACTATCGTTTAGGTATTAATGGACACTATTCCATAGTTGGCCATGAAAAGTTATTTTCATTACTACCTTTTTAGTATGTATAAACTGATAATGAACATTAATGTTTTAGCATGCAGTTTGGATACAGTATATATAATGTGTTAAGGTTTTTAGGTTCTCAAGTTTAAATTGCACTATGCCATTAACCTTGTCCTGGAGGGTAGGGGGCGTCTACGAGATTTGGAGGTAACAACTGGGTGGATGCATTTGATCTTGGTCTTTGGCAAAACAAGTAAATGTCTTGTGGAATATCTGTTTCTTCACTGGAATGTCATTGTAAGAAAGCAGCTCGCTGAGGAGCATAAGCCCAGCCTGGCATTTTATGATGAGACAAGTCCAGCCACCTCTTAACAGGATATTCCCTCTCTGCTGGACATTGTGCCGGGCACATTCAGACATCCCATTAAATCCTCTGAGTCTTAGGGCTGACTTCCTTTTGCAGACAGAACTGGAGTTCAGAGAAGTTAAGTGACTGGCTCACAGCTCCCCAGTTGGTAAGTGGTGGATCCTGGTTGGTCTTACGAAGAGATTTCATAGGGTTTCGTTGAAGATGTTGGCTACACTGGCCAGACAGATCAGTCCAGCCAGCTTTTTAACCACTCCACCTTTTACACTGCTCTCTGACAAGTCACTGCATCTCTTCCTCGGACTTCATGCCAAAGAGAGTTAACACTTCCACCACTTCTACCTTTGAGGGGCCTACGGTGTATTCGACCGAAAATTAACTTGCATTTTGAGATATTTTGTTGTGTGGAGCTGTCTGGAGCAGGTCTGACCTCTGGAATACCGAGAGCTGGAAGTGCAGCCCACCCGCCTGACTGGTATACCGGAGACACCAGGGAAGACGTTCCCAGATGCCCAGGAGGAGGACAGCACTGCCCCAGGGTTAGGCCTACTGAATGCGAGAATAGGAGACTCTATCACGTTTCCTTATCTGAAAGTAGTGAAACCAGTGTCTTTCCTTATTTGGATGCGTATAAGCCACTTCAAGCGCATAAGTCCTATTTTGACTTTGCAAGTCTTCCTCACCTTCCTGGCTGGCTCCCCCTGAAAGAAGTGGTTGAACTTGTGGAGACTCAGTTTCACCTAGGAAGGGGGATGACGTTTACTTAACTCTGGGGCAGTTGGCCGCAGTGCAGACGCAAGTGCCTCCCCAGGTTTCCCCGTTTCTCCCGACCCTGAGCCCACATGAGCTCATCGCCTGACGGACCTACCACAAGGCTGGGCAGCAGGGATGTGTGAAGAGGTGAAGTCACTGGGGGGAGCATGAGCCCCTGCTTCGGTGTCGTTACCTTTGGTGGCACCAGGGGAGAGGCAGGTGCTGGTCCCCTGGTGGGATACGTTGGTGACTCCAATTTCGTAATGGAGAACTTTTTTTCCATTTTTCTTCACTTCTTAAGACCATTTGGTTTTTCACTACATGTGAAATATATGTCTTGGCAATTTTGGAATATCTTGTACATTAAGGCCCCTAAGAATTTACAGAAGCTAATTCTATTAAACTCACAATGTGGAGAGCAGATAAACCAACACCATTTTGGGCCTCTGAAAGCTTATTTTACAAATCCAGAAAACCAAAAATATTAACATAATTGTGGTAGTGTTTTAAACACTTTTTGAGACTGTTTTAGAGCCCTGGGCCACCAGGTAATATTAAAACCGGGGAAGCAGAAATCAGGGTTTTAGACACTGCGGAAATGGCAGCTTGTGGTCAAGCAGCAGCCCGAGCGCCCAAACCCTACCTAGTTTTCTTTGGTTCCTAGAGGCTGTCATGTAAAATGAAAGCCAGGGCCCCCTGCCTGCGGGCCTGCAATGGGAACTAAGGATTTGCATCTATCCAGGCAGGGGGGGTCCGCTTTACCTCTTGAGTGAGAACGTCAGTGCTTGGTGGAGGGGGGTCAGCTCCACCCAGCACCCAGTCTTCTCAGCAGGGCCTCTGCCTCTACCAGGAGGAATCAAAACCTTTTTCTCCAAATCCCAGATTTCCTTTGATCCACTGACCCTGCCTGCTTTCACCTTTAAACTTTCAGACTCTTAACACTCCATAAACCTCATACCCACGAGGTTGCACCAGCAGCAGCTGAGTGAGCACGCCCTCCCTGCTGGTAAGGGCTCTGCCCGCCCCTCCCCATAATCCCACCCTTCTCCTGCCCTAGTTCTGTTGAGTAGATGAATAAATGAGTACATACAGACCATTTTTTTTACTGGGACTGGTGGCAAAGTAAAGAGAAAACTGCAAGGAGGAGACATATTTGCTCACAGAATTGAAGCTCATTTTACCAATTTTTTAGCAACCCAATAAAAAGAACAACTCAAAAAAAAAAAGTGAACGAGTTCAGAGCAGCTCCAGTGAGACATGCAGCTTGCTCTCTGGGCTAGAAAGGTTTCTAGGGACAGCAGTTGTCCCCGTCCCGTGCACCCTCAGAGCTCCCACCCAGAGGTGGTCTCACACCCTCCCTCACCACGTCAGCTTTCAGAGGTTCTCATATAGCAGGACGCTGTTCCCAGAAGCAAGCACATGGTCTAACCGGCCCGTGGATTGTACAAATAAACAACACTACAGGGGAAGACAACCACACACTCGGCTCTGCAGTCCCCATAACCAGCAGCAGCTGGGAGAGGCTTGGTTCCTTGTCAGGAACAGATAGATGCTCACCCCATACTCCAAATGAACTGCTTGGTCCAAAAGATGGAGAAGATGAGCAAGACAGTGACGCTAAGGATGATAGCCATCAGGTAGGCAAACATCCGGAACTGAGGGTTGTGGAAACACTCCCTCAGAGAGTAGTGGCTGGAGATGGGAGCGGGCAGGGGCGTGGTGGCAGGGGCCATGGCCTGCGGGTCCTCAGTCCGGCTCCCGGGCCGGGGGTCCAGTTCCAGCGTGTAGATTCCGGGCTGGCGCAGGAAGTAGCAGCTCTTGGGCTGGTCCTTGAGACAGAGCTGGTGACCTTCCAGGATGATGCGGAGGGGCTCCAGGCGGAGCAGGGTGAGCATGGCCATATCTGTGGGCAAGTCAGTGACAGGCTGTCCGGAGGCCAGCACAGTGGGCTGGCGACAGAGTGGGCACAGCAACTGGCGCTGGGCTGGAGTCACCAGGCTGAGGTGGGCCAGGCATTCCACGCAGAAGGAGTGGCAGCAGTCCAGCACTTTAGGGGTGTGGAATGTGTTGTTGAAGGGGTTCCAGCAGACGGGGCACTCGGGCTCCCGGCCCTGCTGCTCGGCCATCCTCAGGCCAGATACCAGGAGGCCCGGCAAGAGACGTCCTGACAGGAAGAGAAAAGGAGCCAAGGAACACACCCATTAAGCTCGGTGCCTGTGATTGGTGCTAAGTGTCCCATGGGTTATCAAAAGGCATTACCAAGCCCTGGCTGGTGTAGCTCAGTGGATTGAGCACAGGCCTGCGAACCAGACAATAGCGGTTCGATTCCCAGTCAGGGCACATGCCTGGGTTGCAGACCAGTTCCCTGCAGGCCAGTTCCCAGCAGGGGACGAACGAAAGGCAACCATACATTGATGTTTCTCTCCCTCTCTCCTTCCAAAGATAAATAAATAAAATATTTTTTTTTAAAAAGGCATTGCCAACCACGCTTCACAGGTGAAAACGTTTCAAGTCAACAAGATGAAGTGACTTGTTCCAGATCACCCAATCCTCAGCTGTAGATTTAAGGCTGGTGCTCCTGTAGATTCCCCTCTACTGGGGCGAAGACGTGAGCCACCCCACTACTAATGAGCTGCCACCAGAAGAGACTGGACCCCAACTTTGGAAATGGTAAAAATAGTCCTTATGCTCCATGTGACCGCCCTTGGCTTCTCGGACTGCGGGAAGAGGGAGGGGAGCCACAGTCTGTGGTGTGTGCCAGAGGGCAACTCCTTCCTTCCCTGCAGCCTCCAATCCCTGACTAGCACGGAGATGGACTCTGTGAATTCCCCAGTCCGCCCCTCCTCTGGGAACAAATGCCGGGCAGGCCCTCTTTCCCTCCTCCCATTTGGCTACAGGGCCAAGCATCCAGAGCCCATGTGCCCAGTCCTTGTGCAGGGCACTGGGTTGATCTGGCAAGGGAGCTCCTGGCAAGCTTTTCCCCTTGACCCGGAAGCTTGGAGGCTCCCCTACACTGGCCCCCAGACCCCTTCCGAAGCCTCCTCCCAATACTTGGCCTCCCCTGGTTCTTCCTCCCTCCCACTGTCCCAGAAAACCTACCTGAGCTTCAGTTGGCCCTAGAGTAGTCAGCAGACTACCCTGAAGGGCCTGAGGCTCCAGTCTCTCCCTTCCCTGAATCTCTCTCTCCAAAAAGCTTTGAAAAGCTGCCTTCTCGCCACCAACCCTGGGGCCCGTCTCCATGGCAGCGCACATACAGCACCTGGAGCTGCCAGGTGGCCTGGGCTGAAGTCTCTTGAGCACACCTGCTTGCAGTGAAGGTCAGAAAGCTGCCCAGGTGGTGGTGGGGTAGGGGGGTGTGGGACCAGAGTTCCCCCAGGGCTTGGCAGACAACCAACCCTGGAAGCCAAGTATGTGGGCAGTCCCTTCGAGACCGAGGATCGTTGGCTGGAGAGGGAGGGTGGCAGTTTCCTTTTTCTAGATTGTGGAGGAGGTAAGTGAGCCTTCTCGGCTTCCTCTCTCCTGGGTCCTTATTCTTTTCTAAAGTGACTGAAACCTCCTTCTCACACAAAGGGTCTGCCTGCCCTGCACTTTAGTGGCGGTGAAATTCACCTATGTGCCCAGTCCAAAATCTCCAATATCCGATTCAGCAAGTCCTCTCCAGCCCCCCACTGATCATTTCATGTGCCCAAGAAGCTGCAGCCGGAACACAGCCGGCTTCGGAACTGAGTCCGGAGATCTTCCAGCCCAAAGGTTGCCCATCCCGACCCTTGGGGGCTTAAAAGGGGGAATCGGGAAGGAAAGAGGAAAGAGGTCTCCAGTGAAACACTTAGCTTTTCTCATATTAGTTATTTGAATAAACTAAAGAATTGAACTGCTGAGGAAAAAAAAAGTTTAAAAACCATTTCTCTGCCCCAACCATACATTCTGCAGGTGGTGGGTAAGAAGTGACTGTCACCCAAGGTCACCCAGCTGGGACTTCCAGTGATAAAGGCAGAACACTCATCCATTCGGTTACCTGCTGCATGTCTTATTAACTAACCAGACAGTGTTGGCATTTTCTCAGGAGACTCCTCATGGCCATGAGGCCCTTGGGGTAGGAATCCGGGAACTGTGTAGGGGGCACCAGGACGCAGTGACTCTCCCCACAGCCCCTGATATGACATCATCTGCCCTGACTGAGCTGATGTGTAAAGCAAAACCCGCTTGTTCTCTGTCACTCGTGGCCAGAACTCTGTCAGGGCTCCGTACAGGGGAGACAAAACAGAGAACTGCAGGAGAGTAGAACAGCTCTGACCGGAGCTGGGGTGGTTGGCGGAGGACCCGTACCCATGAATGCCCTCTGCAGGGCGTTTGTCCACATGTCACCACTGTTGACACTTCCAGGCACAGCCACTGCATCAGCTCAGGCCCACTATCGCCCAGGCACTGTGCCAGGCATCAGGTCAACAGTGGTGACAGGACAGCCATGACCTCTGACCTCATGACCTTTTGGGTCTAGCAAGGGAAAGAGACATTTAATGACTAATGGGCACATAAATAAAGAGAGAATTTTAATGAATGCTATACAGGACAAAAAGGAAAATGGGCGGAGGGGGGGAGGCGGGTTACTGCTTCAGGTGAGACCACCAAGGAAGGTTTCCCCAAAGAGGTGACATGAGAGCTGAGACTGAGGGAAGGGAAGAGTCCAGCTGTGCAGAGGGGAGGGAGGACATTCCAGGCGGAGGGAATAATGTGTACGAAAGCCCCATGATGAGAAGCGGTCTGCCAATGGAGGAAGCAGAGGGAGGCCAGGGTGACTGAGGTGCACCGGGTGGAGCTGGGGTGAGCAAATGGCTCAGGCTGAAGCTGGAGAAGGAAGAGGCAGGTCCTGAAAGCTCGTAGGGGGAGGGGGACTTGATCCTGTCTCTGGGTTTTTGTTTGTTTGTTTGTTCCTGTTTTAAAACCCCCTTCCACTGCAGGGCAGAGAACACACCGAAAGGAACAGAGAGGAAATGGAAGGCCGCTGAGGGGCTCCAGCGGTGGTCCTGGCCGGGGTGCTGGTACTTGACTCAGGCCGGGGAACGGCAAAGAAGATCAAAGGGAGGAGGCGGCAGGTGGCTCTGGAGATGGAATCAAAAGCACCTCCCAAGAAACTTTGAACAGCAAAGATTCTGGAACCTCTCAAGGCTCATGACCCCAGAGCCAGTGCTTACTGGGTCTGTGACTCCAAAGGAATAGCTTAACCTCTCTGTTCCTCATTTTCTTCTTGTGACAAAGAAGCTAAAAGTAGGGCAAAGCTCTTAGATAGAGGCAGGCACCCAGTAAAAACCATGTATGGGGTACCTGGCATTATCACGGCAAATGGATTTGAGAGAGAAAAAAGGTCAAGGCCAACTTCAAGTGTATAAAAGGTTTTATGCACTGAGCTTTGAAGAGCCTCCAAATTTCAGAACATGTCAGAAAGAGACCTTCATTGTTTATCAAAAGTCTTAAGATTGCCTGGACTGGTGTGGCTCAGTTGGTTGGGTATTGTCCTGCAAAGCCAAAAGGTCACCAGTTCGATTCCAGGTCACGGCACATGCCTGTGCTGTGGGCCAGGTCCAAGAGGCAACCAATCGATGTTTCTCTCTCACATGGATGTTTCTCTCCCTCACTTTCTCTCCTCCATTCCTCCCTGTCTATAAAATCTTTAAAAAAAATTAAAAAGCCTTAAAATGTATATAGCCTTGATTCAGCAGTTCTCCCACTGGGAATCTATCCCATGGAAATAATCCAGGAAGGACCTGTGCAAAGATTCGATTACAGAAATACCCATCAAAACTCTGCTCTGATTGTGAAGAATTGAAAACTACCTAATTATCTAATAGAGGGACATTGATTAAATAAATTCTGCTCCATCCATATAAAGAGACATTCTGTAGCTTTAAAAATGATATGATAGCCCTGGCTGGTGTGGTTCAGTGGATTGAGCGCTGGCCTGTGAACCAAAAGGTCACCAGTTTGATTCCCAGTCAGGGCACATGCCTGGGTTGCAGGCCGGGTTCCCAGCGCAAGAGGCAACCACGCATAGATGTTTCCCTCCCTGTCTTTCCCTCTCCCTCCCTCTCTCTAAAAACAAATAAAGTAAATAAAATATACTTTTTTAATTTTTAAAAAGGAAAACCTATAGAGGGAGAGAAGCATCTCTATCGGTTGCCTCTAGTACACGCCCCGACATGGGGACCAAGCCAAAAACTCGGCCACGTGCCCTGACAGGGAATCAAACCAGCAAACTTTCACTTTGTGGAATGACACCCAACCAACTGAGCCACACTGGTCAGGGCTGTGCTACGGCCCTTAAGGATCTCCCGTTCCCCCCAGCACTGACCTACGTACGTTTCTGAAGTTCCACGGCCAAACTACAAAGAGGAGAGTCGATCACTGTTACCTCAGCATGGGGCCCTCAGATGTCCACCTGTTGCAAGCCCCGTCAGAGCCCCACCCTCTCCAGGAGACTCTGCCCAAGTGTCCAGCCACCACTCACCCCCCAGCCAGTACAGCTCAACCCCAGCAAGTCCTAAACACGACCCCAAAGGCATCGCCTCTGTCCATGACCATGTCAGTTCGCCCAATACTAATTGTAGAACCACCCCAAAGTTTTCAGCCTCAAGAGAGAATATTTTTATAGCACCTCACAGTTTACAAAGAGCCCTGGTCCTTGCTAGGCTAAGTGGGGTATGAAAACCTTTTACAGTGTGTTTCCATTTGCATAAGGCCATTTGGTTCTTTAAACCTGGGAAGAAGGCAGGCCGGGGAGTAGAAAGTGCAGGTTTTGGAACCAGACAGGCTTTCTTGCTGTGAGGACTTGGACTAATGGCTTAAGCTCAGTGAGCTTCACTGTCCTCTGTGAAATAGACTACTTATCCCCACTTACAGGGTTGCTGTGAAGAAGGAATGGCATTTGTGACTTGCCCAGCAAGACATAGCAGGCGCTTGATACATAGTGTGATGTTCTGATACCCATTTTATAGAGGTGGAAGCCAAGCCTTAGAATGCTGAAGTGGCTTCCCAAGGCTTCACAGCTGAAGAATGACCAAGCTTGAAAAATGATTCCAGGAGTCCCACCTCCCTGGCCATTGTTCGCCTGGACCGTGCTGCCTCTGGGGCTCCAGAGCACTCTGACCGAGGCCTCCATGAGCCTCTCTGGCTCCTTACCTGTGCTCAGAGCCTCCTCTGCCTCCTCCTTTCCCCAGTGCAGCGTGGCCGTGTGTGCTCTGACTTTTCCCAGCCTGGTTTCCTGGCAGTGGTGGGCGGGTCTCATTTGCATGAGACCTTCAGGCTGCTCCTGGCCAGCTCTCTCTATTTCAGGTTTTCCTCTTCCTTCCGATGACTTTGGACTGACTCTCTGGTCACAGGGGACAACCTGAAAGCTTTGGTTTCATCTTCCTCCTATGAGTCACTCTTGGTTTTTCTCAAAGAGTTTTGAAGTCCACTCATCTTGCAGGCCTCTGTTCCGACTGGGTTGGTCGCCTGCCATCATCTCTGCTTGCACTTGCCCTTGGTGTGCTCAGTGTGCTGACCACCTTGACGGGAAGGGGGGGTAACTCTGACGCCAGGTCTGCCTTTCAACCCGGAGAGACACTTTCCTACTCTGAGCCCCTACAACCAAAATGAAAAGAGCTCTCGCAGAACATTAAGAAGAGGGCAAATAAACCAACACAAAAATGACCCGAGGGGAGAGAGGTATTCAAGGATAACCATGGAGAGCCAGAGTTCTCAACGTGTCTGACTTCTGAGTCAGAGTCAAGTCCTCGCTCAGCGTTGTGTGTAGTTTCAAAAGGATTCCACATACACTTGTTTACCATGTAAGTGAAGGTGTGTCAAGCCACTTGTTTATGACAAAGAAAAAAATCACTTTGTAATGAAATAAGCCTTGCCAGCATGCTGTCCTTCTGCACGGGCTGTTGATAAGCAGTCAGCAGCCGTCAGCTGACGGGCCAGGCTGGGGGCTCATTGAGAAGTACAGGTGGAGAAGCAACCTTGGCAAGGGGACTTTCGGACTAGGAACAGTGAGAGTTTGTAAGGACTAGGAGGACTTTGGTTTGGGCAAGGCGACTATTCTCTAACCTAAAAACTCGATGAAGGCCCTTGGGCATTCGCTTGAATCCTGGTGAGGCGTCCCTGAAAAACAGTGGTGATGCACACAGCGGTGATAAACCTTTCAAGGAGCAGAGGTCCTTGAAAAAGAGCAGCCTGTCCCCAACGCTGGCACCTTTTTTCTTTAGCATAGAACTCTAGCAAAAGGGGACTTCTGCCCTGGCAGCTGGAGCCGGCCCTTTGGTTAGTCACTGAC